GCCATCATAGCTGCTGGTCATCCTGGAAGATATTGCCCAAAACCTAACTTTCCCATGTTCCCCACCCTTTGCTGGTGGAATTGAGAGGGTTGCTTTCTGGTGGTTTGTCTTCGTAAAAGCATTTGTTCCCTCCCATATCTTAGTAAAGAATCGTCATCATTGTTGTTTAGTCGTTTAGTCGTGTCCGACTCCTCATGACCCCATTGGCCAGAGCGCTCCAGGTCCTCCTGTCTTCCACTGCCTCCCGGAGTTGTGTCAAATTCATGTTGGTAGCTTCGATGACACTGTCCCAATAACTTGACTTTTTGTTGTTGTTTGAAGACTGTCCACAGTCTTCCTGTTGTTACTGAGTCATAGCACACCAAGCTATGTCAAATATTGTTTTCCCTTTGAGCATAAGCGGAGTGCCTTTTTGTCACCTCTAACTGAAGCCCCTCTTCTTTAATGAGATGATCATTAAAAAATATTAGAAAGTGCAGAAATTGATAGATTAACTAAGAGGCTAAAGGGACAAAAAGAATCATCTTTTTATCTAAGCTGGAATTTATTTTATAATTGGTGGAAAGTTAAAACTCTGTAATAAAGGAACAGAAAATGAATTTTAAAAGGGGATGTCATGAATAGGATCCCACCAGAAGAATTAATCAAATGTACAAGATTGCTTTTATGTTGAGCCTTAGTCCTTTTTCTTTTTTGTATTTAGATTATTTCTGTTTATAGTCCAATGATTAGGGATTTCTACACTTTATGATTATTGTTTAAAAGTGTATTGTTCTACATATCTATGTTTCTAAATCTTCTGTTGGAAAATTTTTTAAAAATAAAATTACTAACTGAAGCCAACCCTTGCAAACGAAGGCCTATATGTCTTCGCTTCTTTTCTGTGTATCACCCAAGTATGGAACAGTGGCCTTTTAATGAAAATGTCATATGGCTTGAGAAAGGCAGCTTCTCCCATTGTGGGAATTTTATGAACCGTATGTTCTTTTCATCCTTCCAGATTCTGGAGTTTTTATACCCTTCTAGAAGTAGCAAACAGGCTACTATACACCCACATCTTAGATTTAGATGGGGAGAGAAGCAAAACATGGAATGATATCATTAGCACAACCCACTGGATATTCCTGCAGAGGTCCTTTTTTATTATAGTCACAATAGTACTGTGGTTAGATAAGGAAGAAAAAAACTTTGCATAATCTTAGAAGCACTGTTCTCTGAGCAACTACAGTAGGGTAAATGTCCCAGCTGATACAATGTAAAGGAGATAGATGATGTCTGTTCAAAATGCAGGTTCCAGAGATGGGTCCTGGGTTAGCTAAAGCTCATTTGTGGATTCTTTCCCACCCAAGACCAGGTTGGATGAGTAGAGTCAGGAGTAAGGGGAGGACAACAGACTGGTGGTGAAAACATTTTAATATTTCCACTCCACATTAAAGTGTCCAACAGACTTTAAAAGTCTGTTGTCCTCCCCTCACTGATTTTCAGGCTGGTTTTCAGACCTGGATTCCTAGCTCCCTTTTCTACATCCAAGTATGCCACACTGGAGGCAACAAAACCTGAAGTCAACAACGTTTTTGTAAGAACAATGCAAAAGTTAGGCAAATGGGAAAGTTAAACATTGCATTGTCATTTGGAAATATTTGAAAAGCCACTTTTTTGGAGTACAGTGCCCAGAAGTATGCAGCCAAACAGGCCACCGAGAATTCTCGGAATTGCTGTCCAGAAAAGTGACTCTTCAAACTCTGGGTTTGTTCTTTCACATTCTTTAGAGGATCGAACAGGTACCTTCTTTTGCTTGATTCATTCTGGCCAAAGTCACAACCACTTTGTATATTTTTGTTTTGTGATACCGGAACAGCTGCCGCCGAAAGGTTAAGGCAGAGTCAACCTGACCTTCTTGGGGGAAAGCTGTTCCATGTTCTGCCTTTCATTTTGTTCCAGGTGGCCCTGGCCAACAGACAAGGTGTGGCCTCGCCCCGTTGGATGCACTTACCTGCCAGGTGCTGTGCTTCAGACACACTTGTTTTGGCTTCCTGGCTCAGGAGATACAAAGGACTGTCTGAAGAAGGGATTAAGGGCTTTGGGCTTCTCATCCAGCAAACATCTTTGCATTTGAACAAAGAGTCAAGAGTTTAAACTAGGTGGGCATGCTAATTGAGCGCTTTGTTTCCTGTGCCTAATAAAGCAACCCTTATATTTCTGGATCTGTTAGGATAAAAAAGGTAAAGATTCCCCTTGACAATTTTTGTCCAGTCGTGTCCGACTCTGGGGGGCGGTGCTCATCCCCGTTTCCAAGCCATAGAGCCAGCGTTTTGTCCGAAGACAATCTTCCATGGTCACATGGCCAGTGCGACTAGACACGGAACGCTGTTACCTTCCCACCGAGATGGTCCCTATTTATCTACTCTCATTTACATGCTTTCGAACCGCTAGGTTGGCGGGAGCTGGGACAAGCGATGGCCGCTCACTCCGTCGCATGGATTCAATCTTATGACTGCTGGTCTTCTGACCCTGCAGCACAGGCTGTTGCGGTTTAGCCTGCAGCGCCACCACGTCCTGTTAGGATACTGTAATTGTATTTCAGGGTTTTCAGAGGCCACACCTGCTTGGAGATTTGTGAGGATGAGAGTAACCCCAGGGATACTCTCCAGGGTGTACCGTCCGACTCCCATACCAACAGAGCAGAAGAAGAGACAGAGATCATTGGAAAAGTGTTAAAGCAACTGAAAATAAGTACAGAAGCACTAGGGGGCACTAATTTGGTGGGAAAAGGGGAGGATGGAAAGGAGGGGAAGAAGGAGGTGGGGAGCAGTCTGAAAAAGGAAGAGAGAGAGAGGTGTGTTAGGCTGAGGAGGATATTACAGAAAAAAAGAGAAGACTTAGTAGATTTGATACAAGAAGATCCTGGACAGGGGAATAGGTAGAGTTTTGAGTGCCCAGAGAATATGCTGAGAAAGAATGAAGAAGACAAACCTATAGAAAGCCACCCTATTGGGGCGAGACAGAGGAA